GCCAGTTTGGCTTCACATTTCGTCCCGCTTGCGGTGTGATTTCCGTTTCTGTTTTCGCTGTTTCGCACCGCCGCCGAGAGCCGATCCGGCCGATTCCCCGTGCTCGCGTCGTATAAGGCACGGTGAAGTTTTGTCGTTCACGTTCTCCATCGACGGATACGCGCCGCCAGGATGCCGAAGAGGAAGCATCAGGCCCTCATAGATTCCGACAGCAGCGGGAGCGCGTCGGAGAGCGGCTCGGATCTGGACAATGTAAATAGCCTAACCTTTATATATCGCGTAAAAATGCCGTGCCGTTCACTCCCGCGTGCGCTATACCGCAGATACTTAACTTTATCCCCGATCTTTGTTGCACGTTGCACGACGAGTTGCAATGTTGCAAAATGCATCGCGACTTACCTTCCATGTTCAAAGCGACTTTGCGTAATTCACCCGATGAAAATTCACAAATGCACGTCTACGAATGTTTTATAAATTTCCTATGAATTACGAGAGAATATTTTAAGATACAAAATATCCGTTCTTCTTAGCTTCTCTTTTCAATTATGGAGATTTTTCTTTTTAACTTTTGATTATCCTTCGTGGATTATCCTTCGTAGAACTGATTTCACGCTAAAGCTGTTCGGGTTCAAATTGATCCATTTTGTAATGCAGTTTGTTGCAAAGATATTTATCAGTTTAAAAAAAATCTAAATTTTGGAAATAAACTGTATTATGTTATAGAAATTAAGTCAAGGAATATTGAGGATAAAACACAGTTTCTTTAATTAGAAGTTAGTAAATTTTGTGATAAGTCCAAAATAAATCTGAACATATAACCTATAAAGGTTATATACACTATTTCAAACATGAAGAATGTGATGCGAGCGCTAGGAATAGATTATATGTAATATAAAGTATGAAATATATGCAATAACGTGTTTCAGTTTATCCAAGCTTGTAAAACACAATTTGAAAAGCGATTTATAACTGAGAGCCCTTACTATCGCTTCTCTCATGATTTCATCGTTAATAATTCATAATTAGCACGTGTCTGAACTTTATCAGGATCTATTGTCACTGGCAAAGAAAAAGAAAGGAAAATCGCAAGATGATTCTCAGTCAAATGAGGATAACGGATCCGTTAAGAAGGACATCAAACGTGAGTCAGATATATCGGATTCCGATGATAATTGGAATAACAAAGCTGGGAAGACAAAGAAGAGAAAAACTCCGTCGAAGAGGAGCAAGCGAAAGATGACAAAGTCCAGTTCGGACGACAGTGCCAGTGAGAAAGAACCAGCTAAACAGCTTTCAGAGCCAGAAGAAGGTATATGGAGAAAATACACTATACTTTATCTCTTTTTAATCTATAAACACATGATCTCTCTTTAACTGGTACTATAATAACTAACAATAATCATTTATTGCGACAGGTGAGGTGTCAGATTCAGACCCAAGTGTTTCCAGCTCGAGCCAAGAAGAATTCAACGATGGCTACGATGACAAGCTTATGGGAGATGCGGACGATCAAGCTAGACTCGCGCAAATGACCGAGAAAGAACGTGAACAGGAAATTTTTAAACGAATTGAACAACGTGAGATTATGAAAACGAGATTTGAAATCGAGAAGAAGCTGAGAATGGCCAAGAAACAAGAGTTGAAGAAGCAAAAGGAATCGAAAAAGAAGGAGAAGGGTATTGAGGAGAAACAGAAAATAGACCGAGCACCGGATCCTAAAGAGAGAAGCAAGGATCGCAAGAAGACAATAGAAGAAAAGCAAGACAAGAAGTTTCACGCAATGTCGTTGCTCAAAGCTAGACGCGAAGAAAAGAAAGAACGAGGTAAAGTATCCTGCTTATTGCCGTCTTCTTTGCGCGTTACAAACGTTTCTAATGCCAATGTCTTTATTTAGAGGAAAAAGAGAAACAGAGGATAGAGCAGCAGCAACAACAATCGAAGGATATGGAGGAAGAAGAATTGGACGATGATCACAAGGGTGGTGCGAATAAAACGAAACTTAAAGCATCCGATATATATTCCGATGACAGTGGTTCGTCGGACAGTGGGGAGGAAGAGGAATCCACTAAACCAACGTCTCAACGCAGATCGTCCTCGAGCGAGAGTCGCGATTCGGACTCCGACAACGATAAAAAGTAAGTTTTTAAGTTACTTTTTAACGCAAATAGTATCTTCTGTATCTCTCTCTTGTTCAGTTATATTTATATATACAATATCGTTATTTTAGATCGATTACTAGCAACAAAGCTAGACCCAAGAAGCCAGTGTATATCAGTACGAAGGAAGATCTAAATAAGATTCGATTATCCCGTCACAAGATGGAGAAATTCGTTCATTTACCTTTCTTCGACAGAGTGGTGCAAGGTTGCTTTGTCAGGATAGGAATCGGCAATAATAACGGTAAACCTGTCTACAGAGTAGCTGAGATAAGCGGTGTATGCGAGACAGGGAAGATTTATCAGCTCGGCAGCACGAGGACGAATAAGGGGCTGAAATTGCGTCATGGTGCACAAGAACGTATATTCAGGTTGGAGTTTGTCTCGAATCAGGAATTCACGGACTCTGAGTTCTTTAAGTGGAAGGAAACTTGCGCGCTGCAAGGAATATCGATGCCTACGTTTGACGAAGTCGAGCAGAAATTAAAGGACATCAAGGAAGCGTTGGTATACGAATTCAAAGAGGAGGACATAGAGAAGATAGTACGCGAAAAGGAGAGATTCAAACAGGCTCCCTACAATTATGCAATGAAGAAAGCACAGTTGATGAGAGAACGCGATGCAGCTAATTGCAGAGGAGATGACGAGACAGCTAGTCGACTTAATCAAGAATTAAGTGAATTGGAGGAGCGCGCATCGGAACTGGATAAGATGCGTACGGCAACAATTTCCAGTATATCGTACATAAACGATCGCAATAGAAAGAAAAATGTGGAGGAAGCTGAGAAGGCTATAATGGTAATGTTTTGTATATTCTACTTATTATTACATTTCAAGCCATTAATCCGAATTTGTTATAACAGGAAGAACTGAAGGCTAATAAGGGGAAGAAGATCGATGACCCATTCACCAGGCGTAGTACTAAGCCGAGAATGATATACAAGCCGGAGGATGAGTCTGAAGTAGTAGCGACAGTTCCAGTAAATGACAAGTCGAATACTCATCCGGCTGGAGATTCGGTGTCAGCTGCTGATAAGGAGAATGGACAGGAATCTAAAAAGAAGCAAAGCACAGAAGACCTTTTCGACGCGCACGACTTTGATATAACAATCGACTTGGAAGTTCCTATTCCAAGTAAGTTTTGCAAGAAGTATCATGGTTGTAAATTTTTGGCTTAGCGATTAACGAAACAAAACGAGACGATATAACTCGTATACACGTTTTTATAATTTCTATAATTTTATTTCTAGACAATCCTGTTAGCGTATTACCGAAGCCCATTAATAACATCAAGGATACAGGACCTCGCCGATCGTTGAATCTAGAAGATTACAAAAAGAAACGCGGTCTTATCTAACAGTTCATACGTCTTAAATGTCGTAAAGTTATGATAAGGCTCTAAGTTGTCGAGGTTGTCTTGTAGTAATTAAAGATGTTACCTCGTCTATCGAGTGCTCCGTTTAACGACGAGAACGGGGATATGTAATGACTGACAGGTTAGGTTATTTATAACACTTGCAATGTTACGGCTAATGGCGAATCCATCTGTTTAATACGTTGAGTGGTAGCGGTTTGCTAATTTTATACGCGAAGGATTGATTGGTACTGTATTACGGTTAAATGATAAATAAAGGAATGTTAACGAAACAAACGTATACGATACCTGATGGCTTTTAGAATTTTGTAATGACATCAGATTATTAACGACGGATGAAGATTGCGTATGGATATGTGATAATTTATGTAGGATCCATTAAAGTCATTACTATATGCAACTTATCTGAAGTTTATAATGCGCACGTTTTAATTCACTTATTCGCCATGTCAAGAGAATCAGTAACTATCATCGTTCATCATGATGCTCAACGTATTAAAAGATGGTCTCAATTAAGAAGGTTCCAACGAAGCGGTTCCTATTATGTACTCCATATAGCCATATAGCCATTGCCGCGCGGAAAATATAATTACACATACAATGATTGCGTACGTAGAACAATTGTTTGATAATGACAGTACTTAAGGAGTACGGTATATTACTGAGTACTGTAGAAAAATGTAATCTTACATTTTATCACACATCTTCCAATACCATATGGTGTAGTCCATGGGATAATCATATATCTCATACTTAAATGGAAAAGAGAGAAAAAGAGAAAGAAAGACACTGAAGTTTATACCGTACGAAATTATTTGCCAAATGACTGAACAGATAGAAATATCGTTTGTACAAGAATTAACTCTGGTTACAGTACGTGGCATAGGACGAATTTGTGTTGTATATGATAGAATAAAAATCTTGATAAAAGGTCATTTTTTATCAGAAAATAGGATACATATAATTAACATAATAATACTATATATCAATATCAATTTGATACACTTACATCTTTTAATTGCATATATTAATTAATTGCATATTCTGTAATCTTATACTGCTGGTGTATTGTTCATTGATGTACAGTATATTGTCATTTTTACATCTCTCTCAATTTACTGCCCATATACCTTCAATATTTTCTATTGAGGAAAAGCGAGACTGTATA